CTGTCTCGTTCTCTCTGTCTCGTTCTCTCTGTCTCGTTCTCTCTGTCACTGTTTCTCTCTCTCGCTCTCTCTCTGTCTCTCTCGCGCTCTCTGTTACTGTCTCGCTCGCTCTCTCTCTGTCTGTCGCTGTCTGTCTTGCTCTCTGTCTCGCATGTGCTCTCTCTCTCTTTGTCTGTCTCTGTCTTGTGCGCGCTCTCTCTGTGTGCTTGCGCTCGCTCTCTCTCTCTCTGTCTTGTGTGCTCTCTCTCTCTCTGTCTGTCTCCGTCTTGCGCTGTCTCTTTCTCTCTGTCTGTCTCTGTCTCGTGTGCCCTCTCTCTCTGTGTGCGTGTCCCACTGATCCTTTTCCTGCTGCGTCTCTCCTGTGTGCAGAACAAGAGCTGATCCGGCAGGAGTTGAACACGCGGTACCTGAGCTCGCAGGGGCCGGAGCGGAGCGCGTCGCTGGGTCCACCGTCGTTCCAATTTCACCAGCACCAGCACACTCACCAGCATACCCACCAGCACTTCGCCCCATACTCAGCAATCCCTCAGCCTGGCCTGGTCCCTGCTCCAGCACCATCCCTGGTGCGTAACTCCCGCCGAAACGTGAGCATAAGTAGCAGGCGTGACTCGCTGCCGGGGTATCTCCAGGTGGTGGGGAAGGGGCTGGGCTCGGTAAGTGTTCAGGGAGGTGGGCGCTCTGGGACTTGGGTTCGGTACACCGTTCTGTCGCTGGCTTTTAAAAAAAGTCTGCAGTCAGAATGGCGGGTGGTGGGGAGAGTGCGTATTCCCGGTGTTTATCATCGCTGTTCTTCACCGGTTCAGGGGACGGGCCAGTGTCTGTTACTCATCGCTAATCCTCACGTCAGCAAGTGAGGGGCGAGGGCTGTCTGTGTGCGGGGAAGGGAGGGAGGCGGGGAAGGGAGGGAGGGAGGTGAGTGGGGAGAGAGAGAGTGGGCTGGGTGGGGTTGGGGGAGGGAGACGGATTGAGAGTTGGCCCTTGGACGTGGTGAGTTGCGGGCAGTGTTCTCGCTGTATTCTCTCTCCGCTGTGGGTCCCAGTGACCATGCGAACTAACCATTGGGTCGTGTGCTTTGATCTGCAGTACTTCCAGGCCTATCACGCTCCAGTTGCTGGGATCCCTCCTGTGCTGCCCCCAGCTGGTCCCTTCAGCTCCCTGCAGGGTGCCTTTCAACCTAAGGTACTGTCGCTCGACCCTCCCTCCCTCTCTCTCTTGCTCGCTTACCCCCCTCTCCCCTCCCTCTCTCTCCCTGTTTCCCGCTGGCAGTTGTTCCGGGGAATACTCATTCAGGCTTTGCTTCATCTTTCCCGGGCCCTTACCCAACCTGTGTGCACGCGCACACAGAATAAGATGGTGCTAGAGACAAACCGATTGGGCTGGAATAACATGATGGGTCTGAGAGTCGAGTGCCGAGGGTCGGTCTAACCAAAGGAACACGTGATCCAAAACTGTACAAACCAATTAAGGCCGACAGGTGGGAAGAAGGTGTCGAGGTGATGGTGTCAGAGCAGAATAGTAAGGAAGATCTTACACCTGCAGGGCAGCGTGCTGGGGGTTTGACATAGAGTGTGACATAAACCAGAGATTGTGGGTACGGAGCTTGGCTATGGGGTTTCTGCTCAGCGATTCAGCGCTGTCGGCCATCTCACAGGCTGCCTTGAAGCACGCTGACCTTAGAGATACATGGCCGCGCAGATTCACCGAGCAGAAACAGATAGCCCAGCTCTGCCGGCCTCGCTTGCTCCCGAAATAGGACTCTTTCCCCACCCCACTCACCAGTCCGGGGCTGGGGCAGTGTGGGGGTACAGGCTGTGTGTACGCCCACTGTTAGCCTGGTTCTGCTCCCCCTCGCGCCCTCTCCCCACGTTCCAGATTCCGACACCCCTCCACTGAACCACCCCCACCCAAACTGCGTCTCCTCCTCCTCCCCTACCCCCTGGCCACCCGCTCGATTTCCACGCCTCAATGGAGTCTCTCCCTCCTTCTGGGAGGAAAAGGCACCCAGCATCTCCGATCAACCCCGAAACTTCCCAGGAATGTTGCCCTGTACCTCTTGCTGATTGTCGGGGATGGGCTTGCAGGTTGAGGAAGGCAGCTTGTTGCTGAGTGATCCGCTCCCCCATTTGGAACTGCCCTGTCACCCCATTTTCCCCACCACTCACGCTCTTGCTGGGTCACTCTCCAGCTCTCTCAATCACTCGCAGTCCGTCTCGCTCATTTTCTCGCGCTCTCTGTCCCTCCGGCCCGCGCGCTCACGCTCTCTGTCTCTCTCCCGTCTCTGCCTTTTGCATGTTTTCCCCCCCCAATCCCGCTGGTCCTCCCCACTTCCGGTGATGGTGACTCCACTCCAGCACCCCGGCCCGGCCTCTGCCCTGCCCCAACAAGTGTAAAGGAGTGCTCTCTGTCTGGCTGTTCGGTGGGGGGGAACAGCAGCTGTGGGCACGTGGCAAGCTCCCCTTGGATCGTCGGTTCCAGACCTGTTCGTTACATGGATCGATGTTGTTCCAGTGCACTAGACCGATTTCGTCCCATACCCTCTACCCTCGTCCTTCACCCCTCACCCTTCATCTGCTCCCTCGGCGCCGACCCTCCGACAGCGCCCGGCTCCCTCGGCGCCGACCCTCCGACAGCGCCCGGCTCCCTCGGCGCCGACCCTCCGACAGGGCCCGGCTCCCTCGGCGCCGACCCTCCGACAGGGCCCGGCTCCCTCGGCGCCGACCCTCCGACAGCGCTCTCTGGACATTTAACGTGACTTCGACCAACGTAGAAACAGACGCGGTGTCAGCAGGCTGTGGGTAAGGGTCTGCAGTGCACTGGATAGGGCAGTGCCCTGGTGCGGGAAGTGGGAAGGCAGAGGGAGGGTGGTCTGGTGTGTGCAAATACTGAACGTTTGTTGGTCCCTGTCTCCTTTCCAGACCCCGAATCCCGAGCTGACCTCCAGGTCGGGGCCAGTAACTCACACCTTCCTGCAGAAGGACCCCAGGGTGAGTACCTTGGCCGCACCTTGGCTGTTGGGGTTGGAGGGACAAGACGGTGAGCCGTGATGGCAGGGTCGGGTTATTCGCCAGGCTCGGGGGGGTTGGGGTGGTAAAAATCCAGAATCTAACCTGTGTGATTGTATCCCTGTGCTCCTCCCACAGTTAACAGAAACGTACCGGCCTGCGATACGGGTAAGCACCGTTCTGTTATGCCCTCGTGTTTGTGTTTGCCTTTGCCAAGCTCCATCCTTTGACTTGATCCTGCCCCCTCAGTCGATGCCCCTCAAACTGGGGTTGAGGCACTGCACCCTGGGTGCCCCGGGGCCGGTGTCTAAGCGGCCGGTTTCTCCCGGCGGCCCCTGTTCCCCTGAACTTGTCCGTCTCCTTGAGACTCGGCGACCGCACCGGCACTAAAACGGGAAGTTCTTTACCGGCTGCAAAGCGCTGTGGGTGGAGAGTCGTGAGGAGCCCATGTCTGTCGCTGTTGTTTCTGCCTGGCTCTCTCCCGCCCCTGCGAAACTACTCCTTTGGAAAGTGGGGCCTTTTTCAGGGGTCACCGCTGCTGATCGGCAACGGGAGGCAGCTGTCAGAGTTGGCGCTTGAGGCCTGGGTTCTCTCCTGATTGTGTTTGGTGGGGGGAGGGGGCGGATTCCTTGACCTCGTTCCTCCCGTTGTTCGCTCCACGTCAGTGTGTGCGCGTTCGTGCGTGGGATTGACCGAGATGTCCTCTCTGTCTTTGTCCCCCCCCCCCCCCCACCCCGCAGAAGCCTGGGAAATGGTGCGCCATGCACGTGCAAATAGCCTGGATGATCTTTCGGCACCAGGAGAAGAACAAGGTGCGTACGCCTTGTCTTTTAATGTCAGGGTTGGAGCTTTGGGGCCAGGGTGACCCGGCAACTACACCACCCCCTTTTTACGGGTGAACAGGGTGGGGCGGGGGGGGAAACGCACGCAGCCTTGATCGCGACCGTGGGCATTTGTTATCACGCATCTGCTTGGGTTTTGACGTCGGGGAAGCGTGCTGCCGGGGTTTCTCTCGATTTTGAATCCACCGCTGCGCTGAGAGCCTTCGCCTGCAACCCCTTGGCTCTATCTCAGCCGTGTGGGGAGCAACTCTCAAGTCTCACCACCCCCCAACGTTAGCTGGTGTCCCTTGTCGCTGGGAGCACCCTGATGAATCCCCTCCGCGATGCCTCGACGTCTCCCCGCGCTCCCCCTCAGTGCCTGGAACTGTCTGCACTGCTCCCTCGGTTTATGAACTATTTTGCAGCCAAGTGTCCTTCTGAAGGGGCATCCCTTCACTCTGAAGCTGCGCCCTCGGGTCCCAGTGGAAATGTCATCTCCCGTTATCCGCTCTATCCAGGCCTCCCAGTATTCTGTAAGTTTCAATCAGATTCCCCCTCATCCTTCTAAACTCCCATCAAATACAGACCCAGAGTCCTCAAGTGCTCCTCTTGTAACTAGCCCTTCATCCCCGGGATCGTTCTTGTAAACCTCCCTCTGGAACCCCCTCCAAAGCCAGCATGTCGTTCCTCAGATACAGGAGCCAGAACTCCTCACGGTATTCTAAATGTAGTCTAACCAGAGCCTTACACAGCCTCAGCAGTACATCCCTGCTCTTGTGTTCTAGCCCTCTCGAAATGAATGCTAACATTGCGTTTGCCTTCCCAACCGCCAACTGAACCTCCATATTAACCTTACGAAAATCCCAAACTAGGACTCTCAAGTCCCTTTGTGCTTCCAAAGCCTTTCCCCATTTAGAAAACAGTCCACACTTCCTACCAAAGTCCATAACCCCTCACTTTCCCATGTTTTATTCCATCTGCCACTTCTTTGCCCACTCTCCTAGCCGGCCTAAGTCCTTCTTCAGCCTCCCCGCTCCCTCAACACTCCCTGTCCCTCCACCTATCTTTGTGTCATATGCAAACTTAGCAACAATATTCCTTCATCCAGGTCGTTAATGTATAACGTGAACAGTAGCGGTCCCAACACTGACCCCTGTGCAACTCCAATAGTCAACGGCTTGAAAAAGGCCCATCTATCCCTACTCTCTGCCTCCTACCAGTCAGCCAATCCTCTATCCATGCCAGTACCTTGACCCTAACACCATGGCCTAATACCTTATTGAGCAGCCTCCCGCGTGGCACCTTATCAAAGGCCTTCTGGAAATCCAAACCGATCATGTCCACCGGCTCTCCTTTTGTCTAACTCGCTCGTTACCTCCTCCGAGAATTCTCACTGATTTATCAGGCTCGAGCTCCCCTTGACAAAGCTGTGCTGACTCAGCCCTGTTTTACCGTTCTCTTCCAAATACTCCGTAATCTCATTCTCAATAACGGACTCTCAAATCTGACCGAGGTCAGGCTAACCAGCCTATAGTTTCCCGTTTTCTGCCCTCCTTAAATAGGGGTGTTACATTAGCCATTTCCCAGTGCTCTCCCTGCGTCCCCCACCAAACCCCAGTGATTCCTGGAAAACCATCACCACCAATGCCTCTACAATTTCCTCAGCTCGCTCCGTCAATCCCTGGGGTGTCATCCATCTGGTCCTGGTGATTTATCCACCTTTACCTTCACGGTTCGTCATTCCCCCCCACCACCCGCCTTATTGCTTTATCAGTTATCTTCTTCTGGCTTTTTAAAGGCTTCCCAATCCCCTTGTTTTGCCACTAATCCTCACCACCTGCTTTTTATTCTGTTTTGACGCTGCCCCTGACCTCCCTTTGTCGGCCATAGTTGCCTCGTCCTCCCCCCAATCTGTTTCTTCTTCCTTGGGATGAATTTCGGCTGTGCCTCCTGAATTAGCCCCCGGAAAACTCCTGCCATTGCTCCCTCTTCCCTGCTAGGGGTCCCCTCCCAATCGTCTCTGGTCAGCCTCCTCCCTCGTGTCTTTGGAGTTACCTTTACTGAGCTGTACTCCCGTTCCATCTGATGCCACCTCCTCCCTCTCTAACAGCAGGGTGAATTCTGTCACAGTACGGTAACTGCTCCCTAGGGGTTCCTAAACAAGTCTGCCTCATTACACATCCACCTGATCCAGAATTGCCTGTTCCCCCCATGGGCTCGACCAAAAAAGCCATCTCGTACACATTCCACAAATCCCTTTTCCTGCTACCACCCTGATATTTCCCAGGCCGCCTGTATATTGAAGCCCCCCACCGTGGTTACAGTAATAGTTCCTAACATGCCCTTTCGATCTCCTGATTTCTTTTCTGTACCACATCCTGACTACTGCTAGGGGATTTACACACAACTCCCACCCGGGTCTCTTTCCCTTTTGCGGGTCCTTCACTCTACCCACACAGTTTCTGCGCCTTCCGACTCTACGTCACTTCTTGGTATCGATGTGATTTCATTTCTGACGAGCGCAGCAAACCTACCCCCTCTGCACATCCTTTTCGAAAGGACGTGTATCTCTGGGTATGTAGTCCCCAGCCCTGTTCCCCTTGCAGCTACGTCTCACGACGTTGTACCAGCTGGTTTCAGTCTGCAGCACCAGCTTGTTTACCTCGTTTCGTATTCTGCATGTATTTAGTTACAACGCCCTCAGTCTGTGTCCTGTGTTGACTTCTCCTTGTTGACCCTTTTCACTGCTGTGCCTGATGTTCGATTCCTGACCCCTTGCCATACTCTGTCCCGTCACTTGCTCTGGGAACTTTAACAACCTTGTCTGAGCGCGTGTGCCCCCCCCGCTTGAATAGCCTCCCGTGCTACGGTGCAACCGTCCCTCCAGACCTATCCCTTCTCCGCACTTGGACCAAGTATCCCATACCTTGTTGGGACGAGATCAAGAGCTGAAGCTCCTCCAACACCCGATCCAGGATCCCTCTACCTGCCTCCGCTGCGGTCATACAAGCCTCCCACCACTGACCGCTGGCTAGTTTTGTAGAACTTGACCTGACGAAGTGTGAATGTCCCTCCCTGCTGTCACACAGCTCTCAGGTTCACACTCCAGCCCACCCATTCTGAGCCAGAGCTCCTCTGCCCAGATGATATCCTGCTGTATTGTTTGACAACCTTCTACACTGTCCACAGCCCCACCGATCTTTGTACCGTCTGCAAACTTACTAACCCACCCTTCTACGTTTTCATCCAAGTCGTTTATATATATGTCACAAACAGCAGAGATCCCAGTACGGATCCCTGTGGAATACCACTGGTCACAGACCTCCAGCCTGAATAACTCCCTTCCACCACTAACCTCTGGACAAGCCAGTTCTGAATCCGTGCAGCCAAGTCACCGTGGATCCCATCACCTTTATCTTCTGGATGACTCTACTTTGAGAGACCTTGTCGAAAGCCTAACTAAAATCCATGTAAACAACATCCACTGCTCTACCCTCATCGATCACCTTCATCACCTCCTTGAAAAATTCAATCCAGTTAGTAAGACATGACCTATCCTGCACAAACGCATGCTGACGGTCCCTAGTTAGGCAGTGCTTTTCCAAATGTGTGTAAATCCTATCCCTAAGAATTCTCTCCAGTAGCTTCCCAGCTACCAATGTGAGACTCACTGGTCTATAGTTTCCTGGATTTTCCCTATTTCCCTTCTCGAACAGAGGAACAACATCTACTCGCCAGTCCTTTGGGGCCTCTCCAGTGGCTAGCGAGGATAGAAAGGTCCTGGTCAAAGCCTCAGCAATCTCCTCTCTTGCTTCTCTCAACTAACCTGGGATAGATACCATCGGGCCCTGGGGACTTATCCACCTTAATGCTCTTCAAGAGACCCAACACCACTTCTTTCTTGATCGCAAAATGCCCAAGCATATTAGCGTGCTCTACTCTAATCTCTCTATCCTCCGTATCCTTTTCTTGAGTGAATACTGATGCAAAATACTCATTTCGGATCTTGCCTATGTCCTCTGCCTCCAAGCACAAGTTCCTTCCTTTATCCTTCAAGGTCCTACCTTCTCCCTATTTATCCTCTTGTCTTTAATGTATCTATAGAATGCCTTGGGAGTCTCTTAAACCCAACGTGCCAAGGCCCCTTCTCACTCCCCTAATTCCCTGCTTGAGTACTTTCCTTCTATTCCTCACGGGCCCTGTCCCAATTTTAGCTTCCTAAACCTTCCTTGTGCTTCCCTTTCCCGTTTGACTGAATTTGAAAGGAAATCTCGGAGATGTATTTTGATCACTCTCTCGTTGTGTCTCCCCACCCCAACCGGCCGACAGGTGATACACACAGACCATCACAAACTGGACTTCACCAAGAGCGAGCTGCTCACGCGAAACCCCGGCAGCATCTTCGGGCCCATCGCAAACTCCCACGAAGTGGCCCGACCCGCCACCCTCTTTACCGCTGCAGGTATGTGGCTGGCACGGGCAGACTGCGAGGTGTTTGGGGTGGGGTGGGGGGGCCGGATGGAGTGCCTGGGTGCAGGGGGTGCTGGGCGGGGGGAGGGGAATGGCTCTACAGGGTACGTAGGGAGGTGGGGCAATGTCAGGATTTCGCTCCCAGACCCTTTGGCGAACTGGCACGATTTCTCCTCAAGGGTGGGTTTGGTTGGGGGGTGGTGGGGGGGCATTTGCCGCGTGAACGCACGGCGTTGGGTGTCATTAGCCCTCAGGCGTGTGCTCCTCATTCCCCTCTCATTGATTTCACCCCGCTGTCTAACGGTTTGAACTGCGAGAGAAAGTGGGAATCTTGAAGGGACACTTTCACTATCCTGATGGTCTGTCTTTCCAAGTTGCTCCTGGTGGGGGGGGGCTCAGTGAGGGCATGTGTGTCGGGGAGGGCGTTCCGGGATTTCCTTGCTGCTAATCCACCCTCTGTCCCTTTGTAGATGCGGTTCATGCAGCATCTTCACCGTTCGCACCTCCGAGTAACCTCAACACATTCCTCAATCCTCCCTCGCATCTCGGTAAGTCCTGCAGCTGCTGGCTGGTCCCTCTGACTCTCTTCACCCTGAAGAGAGAGGCCCGGAACGCAGATTCCCAGAGAGCCTCCTCAGGGCTGTGCTGTTCCCCGGGGAGAGGGGGTGGGGAGTTGGTCGGTGAGGGCGGCCTGGAGTTTATATTGACAGACGGTGATGGAAGACAGGCATCCTGTTGCCATGGGCACGTGACGACACAGATACTCTGATCTTTCCCGAGACGTTCCTGACCCCCTCACCCATGCCAGGATCAGGGTTGATTGCTTGCTGCAGTCCCTGCCCATTCCTCCATGTCACATCATCATGGCCGATCGAGCCCCTTGACATGTTTTGCCTGAAACGTGCCTCTCGGCCTCCAACGTACTCGGTGCCTGAGTTCCCAAAGCGCTCTGGGCGCTTCTGATTGGAGACACTGCTCCCCCCTCCACCCAAGCTCAGCCCAAATTGATGCCCACTTTTAATCTACTCTGAGAGACAAGATGGCCGCCTGACACGGCTCGTGTGTTGCCAAGCTCGCTTTTTGGGAAGGGAGGGCACGAGGTATGCGAGCCTTTCTCACCTGGAGTTTGGAGGTGGTGTCGAGGGGGAGTTCGGACGGGCCTCGGGTGAGGTTGTTGGTATGAGAGCTTGCCTGGTAACGGGCCTTGTCTGTGTGTGTCATTTCTCGCTGCAGATCCGTACAGCAGGACCCCATCCTACAGCACAATCGGGCAACTAGCAAACGGAGCCTTTGGAGGCTTGGGGAACCCAGCAGTGGGTGAGTGAGTCTCATAAGACCCTCCGACAGTGCGGCGCTGACCCTCCGACAGTGCGGCGCTGACCCTCCGACAGTGCGGCGCTGACCCTCCGACAGTGCGGCGCTCCCTCGGCGCTGACCCTCCGACAGTGCGGCGCTCCCTCGGCGCTGACCCTCCGACAGTGCGGCGCTCCCTCGGCGCTGACCCTCCGACAGTGCGGCGCTCCCTCGGCGCTGACCCTCCGACAGTGCGGCGCTCCCTCGGCGCTGACCCTCCGACAGTGCGGCGCTCCCTCGGCGCTGACCCTCCGACAGTGCGGCGCT